ATGGGGAAAGGGAAAGGGAAAGGAGATCCATTAGGGATGAATAATGTGCCAGCGCAGATGCTCCTCCAGCCCCCTCTGCAGCCCTGGACAGTGGGCAGTGAGGTCCGGGACATGGGGACGTGGGGATGTGGGACTGGGGTGAGAGAGGGCAGCCACCCCCCCTCAGTTCCTGATTCCTTAAAAATCCCGCTTTTCCCCATCCACCTGCCTGCTCTGAGACGGGCCATCCTGGGATGGGTGTTTCAAGCAAGAGCAGTCTCCAGTTTCCCAAACTCCAAGACTAGGGAATGTCCCCCCACCCCAGCCAGGGTCCACCCAAGCATCTCCCAGCTGCCCCCACCCCACCCCAGGGATGCAGCCCCTTGCCTATCACCCCCCGCCAGCCCCCCAGCTCCTTTTCCCAGGAGCTGAGGACTTTCCCTCTCCTCCAGCTCCTTCCCCTTCATTTTCCTTTGGAGACCCCATCTCAGGGGGTGAGGGAGGCAGTGGTCAGGGTTGGGGTCCATCATCGGTGACTCAGTCAGGGAAGGGGTTAGAGGCTCCGGGCACCCTGCACACCCCTTGGCCCACCAAGCTGATCCTGCTCCATGGCTTCGCTCCCCAGGTTACGGCCATGCAGCCCCCAGCACGGATGGGGGGAAGGTCTTCTGCATGGTCTACGCCCTGCTGGGGATCCCCCTCACTCTCGTCATGTTCCAGAGCTTGGGCGAGAGGATCAACACCTTCGTCAAGTACCTCCTCCACCGCATCAAGAAGTGCCTTGGCATGAGGCGGGCGGAGGTCTCCATGGCCAACATGGTCACCATTGGGTTCTTCTCCTGCATCAGCACCCTCTGTATCGGGGCAGCTGCCTTCTCCTACTATGAGCACTGGAGCTTCTTCCACGCCTACTACTACTGCTTCATCACCCTCACCACCATCGGCTTCGGGGACTACGTGGCCCTGCAGAAGGACGAAGCCCTCCAGAACAAGCCCCAGTACGTGGCCTTCAGCTTCGTCTACATCCTGACGGGGTTGACGGTCATCGGGGCTTTCCTCAACCTGGTGGTCCTGCGTTTCATGACCATGAACGCTGAGGATGAGAAGCGGGACGCCGAGCATCGTGCACTGCTCACCCGTAACGGCCAAGCCAGCAGCGTCCATGCCACAGACACAGCCTCGGCCGCGGCACCAGCTGGCGGCGGGGGGCGGCGGCGGTGGCTTTCGGAACGTCTACGCCGAGGTTCTCCACTTCCAGTCCATGTGCTCGTGCCTGTGGTACAAGAGCCGGGAGAAGCTGCAGTACTCCATCCCCATGATTATCCCCAGGGACCTCTCCACCTCGGACACCTGCGTGGAGCAGAGTCCCTCCTCGCCCGGCCGCTGCCCGCAGACCCCCT